GTCTTATCCGGATCCTTATCCAACATGTTGTCGTACACAGACTAAGTCTAACGCCATAACTTTGGAATCCTTAATCTTATCCCAAAGCAGGTTGCGAAGTGCTTTGTCAGGAAGCATGTCATCCGCATCCATACCTGATATGATCTCATCCCACTGTCCAAGGAACCTGGATAGTTGATTATCCCCAGGGAACTTTAGATCGAATAAGTGCTTGGATGCATACATCACATCAACGTTGTCGGCACTCCGGAAACTATCGACGATCAACGCTAACATTTCTCGTCCCTTGACCATTCCAGGAGTTGTGCCTCTCGCACGTCTCTGCATCATCTGCCTCACCTTCAGTTGTACATCATGAGATCTCTCACCTGCTGCGTGGATGATCGTATGTAGGGTGATACCTAGCTTGGCGTCTATGCTAGCGAATCTTGCTTCGCCTGATGTCTCGAGTAGAAATGGGTCATATGGTGATCTGAAGGCATCCGAGAGCCATTGGATCCAGTCTTCTTGTTTCTCGTCGCCCGATGCCGTCACGACTGCCGCTACAACCTGGGATTTCCAAACCTCCAGGTCGTGTATCTTGGGCCATGCAGGGATGTTGATCTTCTCGTGTTCCTTCCGAGATATCTTGGAGCCACCTGAGCTAGAGGATGAAGCGGCACCATGTTCGGTTGCGGCTGCATTCTCTGCACTTGTGCGCTCCTCTTCGTACCTCTTCCGGTACTTATTCCTCTCATCTCTGAGCCGTGATGCATGCGCTTCGAATTCCATCATGTCCTGTTGGTTCTGCATCATACCTTCGTAGTACTCAATTGCCTCTTTCTCCTCGGACCTTAATAACTTTTCAGTACGTTCAAGTTCCGCTCTAAGCTTGGTCATCATCTCATTCTCCACACTGGGTTCTGATCCCATGTCTGGTGGTTTCAACTTCAGTGCGACCTTCAATTGTGCTTCACTTGCGCTTGATTCGATCAATTCTTCCTGAAGACGTTTCAGCATCCTCTCTTTACGTAGAATGTCCTCTTCCAACATGTTCACCTTGGCTTCGGCCTTCTTGAGTTCGGCGCTAGATGGTTGAAACGGTCGATCGGATCCTTGACTCCTCGTCTGAGTCAACTCCTCGTTCGCCTTCTTCAATTGCTCTCTGATGCTCAAGATGAACTTATCCTGAGTATTAGACCGGTTGTTGAGCTCCTCATTCTCTTCTGATAACCATTTGATCTTGTTTGCATACATTGCTTCCCTCATCTTCATTTCCTCAGCATATTCGTGTTTGTTTCTGGCACTCTGCCTTTGTAGTCCAACCAACTCCTGTCTACACAGATCCTTGACGTTCTCAGCATCTGCGATTGTAGTCATGACCTCGGTTACGGCTCGATCTCTTTCCGCCGATATAGCCTGGATCTCTTCCGTGCCGATGTTCACAACCTGACTAACCATCTCTGCGCTGTTGCGATCAGCGTACTCCCCTAACTGGGTGAGACGATCCCGCATTGCCACACGATCAGTGTCCATCTGGTATTGCAGATCGTGTGCTGCTGAGAGCAAACAGTCTCTGGATTCTGTAAGTTGGGAGATTCTTCGTTGATTTCCATATCCTTCGACATAACATTCTTCGAGGTGTGCCATCACTACTTCGTGGACTTCGGTCTCGTGTTGTATAATCTGGTTCTGTCTCTGCTCACATTCGACCATCCATGCGTTTTGGTGGTTCAACATATGCACTTCGGCAAGTAGTTGCGCACACTTCGCATTCAGGTCTCCATCGGCCCGTGCTAGTTGTAGGTTGTCAGTGCTTGCCCTTGCTCCATCTCCAGCTTCGCTGTCCGACGGCACTGGTACAGCTGACCCATCCTCCAATGCTAACACTCTCACAGCTCCGGTGTCAGTCCTCCTCCTTGTCTCCCTAGGGCTACGGCCTGATCTCGGTGTCCCCCCGGTGGTGTCGAGTGCGCTGACGGGGAACGACTTCGTGCTCTACCTGTCGCATCTTCTCTCACCGCTGTCAGAGTCTCCACTTCGATCGTACCTGGACTAGAGTTGTGGGATGCACTCATCCGATCTGCGGCCGCAGCAGCTGCTCCAAAAGATGCAGTGCTGGCGTCGGATTGGTCCATCTTCAGTGACTGAGGGTAACTGATCTATCCGATGCGTGTGCGTTTAGATGGTGTTGCGTAAGGCCGCAGCTCGTACCCAGCTCAAAGGAGTCTGGATACGGCTGATAACCTGCGAACGGATGGAAAGGTGTGCCCTGGCCCCGTTCTAGCTCTTAGGTCAACATGAAGCTCGCGCGCTAAAGCTCCTTTTTACCTGGTTGGGCACTTGAGCCAAAAGTATATGGCATGTACCTGTATAGCGACTATACTGGGACCCCATCCCTATTGACAAGTATCATCTGTTGATCTGCATGGATAGCGGATAGTGCATTCTGTGGGGTGGGTACACGCCTGTACAAGCTTCTTAAGGATATAATGAAATTAGCATCGTTCACGACTCAGAGGGAATGCAACTACTCTCGGTTCTAACGAATAGGCTTTCTTCAGCACCAACAGCAGCAGACAACAAGCAGCAGGCAGCCAGCATCCAGCAGCAGCAAGCATGCAAGCAGCAAGCAGCAGCAACCAGCCAAGAGCATCCAGCCGCACCAAGCGTGCAAGCAGCAAGCAGCAGCAACCAGCAAGCAGCCAAGAGCTAGGCGCAGATGAGATGCCAGCAGCAGCAGCAGCAGGTACCGAGGAGGAGAAGGTGGAGTTGAACCCCGCGAGGGGGGGAGGGGGGTATAGTCCTGATATATCAGGTAACAGCACTCAGGTCCTGGGCTCCCACCGTCCTTGCTAAAGCAAGACAGACTCCAGCTAGCTACAGCTAGCTTTCGTGATGTGATTCCAGAAATCCAGGTCAACGCCCGTCCAGTACGGACGTGGTTTGGGTGGGTCAATTCCACGGGTGGGCGACCCGGAATCGTCCAACGGACTGCAACTGGTGGATTCTTCCCGATCAAAACCATTGAATGTCCAAGAAAAAGTGAGGCCCAAAACCAGATTTACCTGCACGGGTAAATAAAACCCGCTACAGCGACATCTGGTCGAAATGAACTGTACAAACGTGACAGTTTCCTGCTTCAACCAAAACATACATGGTCTTTAATACATGAAAACCATGTAGCCTTCGCATGGATGTTCGGTCGGGGGCATGCAACAAAACGGAACCCAGCACGCAACAACTGTCAGTTACTTAGGCAAATGCAGCCCTGTCACAGTGTCTAAACATGCAGAAACCCACATGTTACGGGCTGTTGGGTCGAACACGCTGACCTAGGCAAAACACAGCCCACATCGAACCCAAGGCCTACAACCATGGGAGTGCGGCAATGATATCTCGAGTATGTTGCAGCTGGCACGTTGCTGGTGTCAACTGGTTGTAGAAGGTGTGGTTCAAACGAGACAAAAAGAACTTTCTGCTGTTGGCGCACTCAGGCTTGAGTCCCATGTCCTGCAACAAGGGCCGGACACTACGAAATGTTTTTGTTGCCCACCCAAGGTGCCAGGCCAACCCAATAGCCAGTGGTGGACGCTAAACATCACAGCAGCGTCTCTGCCCGATTCTGTCCGATATACCTGAACATGCATGTCTCTCAAGGAAGTTCCAGCTGGCTTAAAGCCAACGACAGGACACACACACACACACGTCACACAGCAGTCTCTTACACTGTCCCTGCACGGGCTGCTTCTCCAGCTGCTGCAGCAATGTCACAGAACTACGACCACGTTGGCGAGCCACATGCTTTTGCACACGCGCACGCACGCACGCACGCACACACACACACACACACCAACCCTTGGAGTGACGCCATCCGCCGCATGTGATCAGGACAAATATGTGGGCTGCGCTGCACACCTCGCGTGTACACCAAATATCCTGCGGCTTGCCTCAACGCTGAGGGCTTCTCACGACTCAAGGCACACAACCTGCTTCTCAACCACAGGGGATCTTCAGTTCATCTCTCATGAAATTGCAGCTCTTCTGCATTGCAGGCGGCAAGGCCATCCGGCTATCACATGAGATTATTTTAAACTATCAATGGCAATGTCGACGATCCTGCCACCAGTGACAATGTGGCCGGTCCCCCAAATGGGACTTCACGTGAACAAGTCCGCTGTTTTGGCTTCAGGGTAGTCGCTGATCCCCCCGAATCCGACTAGATAGGTCATACCATGTCCTACCACAAGGATAACAAAGTACCTTTATAGATATTATATCTTTATAGGTATCCTTTCATGCAGCAGTTGTGTTGGTACCAAATGGCTTAGGGACTGGCTTAGGGTGCTTGTCATCCACTAACCTTCGTGGATGTCCAAGTGCTTTGAGAGCTTTGAGAGCTATGCCCACACTTTGAGAGCTGTGCATGGTCCAAATGTCAGCAGGCACAGGCAACATGAAACTTCCTGTCAGACGTCCTGCCCTGAAAGGCTGATCGCCTTTCCTGAACCTTCTATCAGCCCACAGGGGTCATCAAACGCACAAACAAAACTTCTGCATGTCTCCAATGCTGATCGGTATCGGTATAGAGTTGGCCCCTATCAGGTTGGATTTGCTATGATTTGATCAATTCAGAAATACTCGAGGCAGCTGATCGCTTCAAGTATAGTGTTGTTGGATGCTCATATGTTTGATGACGAGATCTTCGTCATTGATCCACGACGTGATCCAATACGAGATAAATGTTCATAAACATGTCAAATGTCAAATACCACGTGATCAAATCCAATCTCCGTATGTCGACCTCCAAGACCCAACATAGAATTGACCTCTTGGCGACCTCTGCATGAGCCGTTGGATGTATTGGAGGGGCCCTCTCTAGGATGGGCCCTGGACCATGGTTTGTCTGGTGAATGTGTGAACCAACGCAATGAGTGTTGTCCACCCGTAAGCAGGATTTATGGCCGTAAGCAGCTCACGGTCGCAAAAAGTGCCACAAACACTCATGGTAACGTGTGTAATCAGTGGAGGTCCTTGCTTGCATGTTGTGATCTCTGTTGCAACTCCCCGATCTGATTTATGTCCTCTGGGCTGATGCGCAGCTGAATGGCACAGGTGACCCACTCTCCTGGCGAGGAAGAGCACTGTATAGCACTGCTATGTCCTTTTAGAAGTGGATTGGCATGGCAACGGACTCCAAGAAGAGCGAAGATATGTCCAGATCCAACATGATCAAACCAACATATGTGGAACCTCCCCATCCGATTGTTTCCACATACGCTGGTCGCCAAAAAGGAGAACAACGCTCCAGGCAAGCAATGGACAAGCGCATTCAAACGGCCACACGACGCACGCCTGTGGTCTTGTCCACGTGTGGCCTAAGAGCAAAGATCGATGGGAAGAGCTGAGGTTCACATGTGACAATGGCCCTTAGCTATCATCTCGTCTTGGGCATTTTAATTTAGTATTGACTTCAACAAAATCAACAAGATATCAATATCAAGGGCTAACAAGTTGACAAGCACGAACAAGGATATCCTTCAAGAACCGTCTTTTCTCGCACGCACACCCTGTGTAACTGGAATGGGAGAAAACCGGCAACGAATAACACCTTCATGATCGTCATGAGGCCACCAATAGACTTTCCTCACTGACGAAAGTGGACATGATTGAACATCCATCCCAAGCCATGGGTGGGTCAAATTGATATCTCGGTATCACATGGTATCACTGGTATCTCCACTCTGTCGAAAACCCTTTGTTTCGGCCGTGTTCGGCCCACTGGCGTCGATATGCGTCGATGGCTCTGGGCACCAGCACTCCGCGTGGAAGATCAAGGGCCCTCCTTCCACCAGCTCGTCATCCCAAGGCACCTGAGGTCAAACGGTTGGTGGGGTCGCTGCGGCGTGGTTGCCGAAGCGGAGAAGCGGAGGTGGGCGAGCCCTTTGGGAGTATCTAAGAAGGGAAGAGAGTGAGGTTGGTGCTTTCTGGGTACGGCGACATGTTTTGGCTAACTTCATGGATTCCAAAGTTGTTCAGTTTAGAGGGATATAGGTGCAATTGCAGGCAACCAAACTTTGGGAATTCTCTTGCTGAGACGGAACACTTTTTGAGCCGTGAAAGTACAAAAAGGATGATCAATGCCACAATTCACAATCATGCTTCCAAATATACCTACAAGTACCTACCCTTTCTCGTTTGCTCCACACATAATTACATGCTGACTCCTTCCCTCGATCTCATGACGTTGATATATTTCTGAATCAGCTGCACGTTCTGCTGCACGAATCATCAAGTATGTCTTCTAAGTTCTAACTCAATCTCCCTTCTTTCTCCTTTCCCCAGCCTGTTTGGACTCGCGCAGGGACCCGCCCCCGTCCAGTCCAGTAGCGGCGCGGGTTGGCGGGGCGCCTTGCCGAAGGTGTCCAAGTTCTCCAAGTCGAACTCCAAAGGAGCCCTGGCGGAGAGGGGTTTCGGAGAGCCTTGGCACCTGGTCAGACCTGGCGTCTCAAGGACTGGTGAATTTGGACCAAGCAGTTCTAAAATCAACATATCATCAAACTTGCACTTTTGAACTCTAAACATCTCTAAACAACTCCATTCCAAACTTCAACAGCATGACACCTCTGAGAATCAAAAACCACCACAGTCACGGGTTCTGTCCACCACTTCGATCCAACACCTCCCGGTCTTCGTTGATCCGGAATGCGAAGCAGTTTCGGCACAACACACCTGATGTGCATCCCGGAGGTCCTGGCTGGAGATCCACATATTATATTACATATTACATATCATATAGCCATGTGGAGTCAACCAGGGCACCCCGATCGAAGAAATGGTCCTGGCAATGAAATACTTACGTGGATCATCAGAAAGAAATCCATGTGCATGGTAGGATGTGGGACATCGGTACCAGAGTTGACGAGACCAGGGCGTGCTTGTCTGACTTGTCTGACGCCTGTATTCGTTTAGAACCCAAACATGCTGAATCTGGCTGATGGTTGAGGACAAAACACCTTGGCTCCCCCCAAACGAAAGCAACATGTGCAACATGCCCAACAAACGGATCAACTCCTGATCCGTTGGAATCAACTCCTGATCCGTTGGAATCCGATCGAACCACCACGGTGCCGGTCCTTCGTTCAAGCTCCGTTCGAACAACGCGCTGAGTCTCCACGCGAGCCCACAGACATGGAGATGCATCTGGAGCCACCGATCTGCCGCTCGGTCCGCTGCGAAAGGCGTGGGGACCCAATCCACGGAAGCCGTGGGGAAGGTAGTCTGAATGGAAAGTCTCAGTCTGACTGGAAACATGGAAGTGGAGTGGACTCTTTTCAGTTAACTTCACTCTCCAACTCTTTGTGCTCAGTTTCTCAGTCCAGTACACTCCCTGGAAACATGGAAGTGGAGTGAGTTCACCACATGTTTGGGACTAGTCAGACCGGATCTTCGGATTGCGAGACGGACCATGCCATCGAAAACATGATCATTCCCTGGAACCCCAGTCCCAACCAGAAAGACATGGATGTTTCCCAAACAACCATTTCCTATGTAACAGATTTCAAGCAAGCCATATATTGGAACAACCATTTGTTTCTGGTTGGGACTGGGGTTCCAGGTCCAAGTGTCTTCTTCACATTGCACAAAGTGAAGGGATCTTTTCTGTGGAGAGGTGAAACTCAACAGGGCATCTGTTTGATGGTCGGTATATCTTTGCATATCTTTGCATATCGCGGTCATGCTCCAGGTTTGGCAGCGACTAATATCCTCCTTTGCTGGTGTTTGAATTCAACGACATCTTTGCCATGCTCGCACATTGCTACAGCCTTTCAAGTTTAGAGATTCATATATAGATTCATGCATGAACTCCATGATGTTTGCACCCCATTGAATCGCTGGTTACATACTTATATGTAATGTACACATTTTTTACTCAGGCCCGCTCAAAGAGTCTACCATCTAGATCCATCTAGAATCAAGGTCCACATCTAGCTTCCACCTGCGTCCAAGCCATCCACCTCCCAGCTGATCGTGCCACAACAGCTGTTCACAGCCAGTCGTGTGCGTCAGTCGTCAGTCATGTGCATCAAAAAAGGATCCGGCCTGTGAGATGTGAAGGTTTCCATTCTCATTGTTTGGAGGCGAGAAGAGGTACATGAAGCGTTCCAAGAAATTGGGTAAGGACGGCCTCCAAGCTTGGCACAGCTGCTGCGGGTCGAGAAAGCGAACAAAAGAACATCCACTCCTGGTATCCCCCTGGTAGTGACGTTCAACTAAAGAACGAAACAAATGACTCAGCGGGTTGCGTCATTCCAAGATCTGGTTCAGTCATCCACCTCAGATCCACTCTTTCAGATCTGTCAGGAAAGCATCCTTGTTTCAGATCGAAGAGGAGCCCATTGTGGCCACTGTTCAAAAATCCTCTGCCAAGGGCATCCAAAGGGCCATCTTGGCGGGGTCCATGTTGGTGTCTGATGGTCTGCCACTTGTAGGCACTTGGTGGAATCGGAGGTGGGTAGCAAAAAGCAATCTTTTGAAGTGACAAACAGGCATTGTCACAAAGTGACAGCTGTCCGTTAGGGTCAACACCCTCCGCTGGTCCTACTGCAGTTCAGTTTGCCTCCAATCGATGCTTGAACCATGTCCATCCTTGGGAGTTGTCTGGATCCATTGCCCAAAACCAGTCGCAGCTTGCATCTACCATGCCTCTTGGTTCCCAGCCCAACCACCCCCAGTCGTGGACATTATATATATATTATATCTCTTCAACTTACACCCCACTTCAAGTCATATTCCGAAGCTCTCTTTGGCATATCCTCACTATTTCAACAAAGCGGGCCATCTCTTCGACCCCACCGACCCCCATCCGACAGTCCCAGTCCCGCCCGCTCACCTGGAGCAAGTCTCCCGCACTGCAATGCGGCCGGCCTGGATCGTTCCGGGAATTCGGAGGCGTTCGGATGGCAGGATCTCCGGAGGGTTCAGAGTTCGATCTGGAAATTTCCAGAAAAGCCCGTCAAAAAGATCCACCTATAGGTTTTTTTTTGATGTTTTTTGGAGATGCAGGATCTGGGTGAAGGAGCTGGGGATCTGCTTGTAAGGGAATCTAGGGAGGCCCCGCAACAGTGCGGGGCAAGGGTCCTGGTGGTGGCAAGCCTGGAGGCTGTTCACATAGGACCATGGTCTCTTTGTCAAGAAAATGGTTGTTGGGTACTTTTGCGCATGAAAACCTTACACAGTCGGAGCACTGTTCTTGCTCCGTAATTTCGGGAGGTTGAAGCATGATGAAATCAACACTATGAGCAATGAGAGACAACGCGCTTTTGTTCATAAAACCATTAAACAAAGACGCAAGTCTTCACTTTGCAATTTCAGAAGCACATGTCTCAAAGCAAGACGCCCCAAACCTTCAGAGAATAAGATCTGCGATTTGGAACAAAGCAACCCACATGCACCACACCATTGCACCTCCCGATGCATGCGGTGGTTCCAAGTATCCAGCCACCTGCCGTGATCGTCCGGCGCACGGGGCACAGATCGTTTGTTCCACCGGATTCACAACCGTAGTGCATCATCTACAACAATGGTTTGTCCATGTTTGTCCTCTCACATGGTTTGTACTACTATATCAATACTGTAGAGGATCCACGGCCATGATTTGGAGTCTGGACGCCGAGCTTGTCTTGGAAGAACAAGATACCATCCAACCATGCAATGGGTTTTTGTATGTTTTTGTGAATTGCTTTTAGTCCTCTTCTCCTTTTACCAGGGACCTGGCTAGCGGTCTTCCTATCCATTTACACCCAAATGAATCGAGGGTCGTTTTTGCTTTAGTCTCCACTACTATACGCACTGGTGCCCTCCCAGTTGGAAAGGTGCTGCCCAGTTCCATCCAATCGCAACCTAACTGTTTCAAAGAAGCAAACAGTCAAACTTACAACATGTACCGTACCTTGAAACTTGGAACAAGCTCTCAATGTTTCACACCTACTTAATAGCAACCTTGCCTTACTAACGACACCTGACACACCGGACCAATGCACCATGTGCATCGCCAACCCACCTGACACCCAAGCCCTGTGACTGAAAGGTTGAATCATCTTGAATACCCTCAACCACTCGTATGCGACTCGAGTCGCCTCATCCCAAACGGCGCGACGGCCGACGGCGGACGGCGGCGCCTGTTCTGGTACTGACATCCTTCCTCGCCGATCTTCACTCGGTAGAGCATGGCCTGTGATCGAACGAGCCTTCGAGACGTGGTCGTCGTGCGACTTCCTGCTCGCGAGCAGAAGCAGTTGACCCAAGCTGAGGGAAGTCTGAAGTACGATTCCACTGCCACTTAAAGAAAACACATATGGGGATGAAATTGTCTCGTCTAGTGATCTTTCTTCATCTTTCTTCTTGCCTTTTCAACTTTCCCATTCCCCACCTGCCCATCCACCCAATCCACGAACTCATCATCGCCAAACTCGAACTTCGCTGGCCCCGCATGGACCTTGGCGTGGCGGCTCGGAGGTGTGTGAAACGCAATGGATCCAACGAAAAGGTCAGGAAAACCAATGAAAAAGGCAGAAAAGTGGTTTTTCACCGCTGCATAGATTCCATCAATGCTGACACGTGGCCGTGGATATTCATTATTTGACCTGATTTCCCCGCCTAAAGATCAGACTGACCAGTGGCCCGGCCTGAGATACCTTTGCTGCTCCATGCCCCCCAGTCCAACTGCCAGCTTTCGAAGCGACTATCTTTTCACTCCACTCCCTTCTCATCTCTCCCTTTGCTCGCCACGCGGACAGGCGGATCTTATCACCAACGTCCCCGTGGAGCGGATGTCGCGACCCCCACATGCTGCGCTCAGGGAAGTCGTCTAAACCACTGACATCAGCTGAAGACTAATCCAAGATGGATGGTGCGGCAAGGCGATAGTGGCAGGTGCCTATATATATATATATATCAGCTATACCATAGCAACCTGTCAAGACTGAACTTTTTTGCATGCATGTGTTTACACCATTTTACACCCAGGACCTTCAGTTCGTGACCACTTTGGAATCTCTAAGTGACCTTTACGTAACATACCGGCAACTAGTAGGCAATAACCCTGGGAAGATAAAGTAAACCCTCAAAATGGGGGTCTAGAACAAAACTAAAACTTTTGGATCACCACGCTAGACCACAACCCGGGTACACGGAAAAGGGTCTAACTGGGTCCTTGAAGAACTTCTAGTTAGACTCTGAAAAGATATTAAAGACGGTCCAGAGAGATCCTGTGCCAAATAGGATCCTCTAGCTTTATCCCTCTGTGTCTTGTTGGGTCTGGGGCCTGGGGTGGTGGTTTGCCTGGCTTGCCAGGTGAGTTCAGTGAGGAAATGCTCCTTCAGTGTGCTTGGACACACAGGTGTGGGTCTAAGGTGCTGTCCTTGAAACTTGTACATAGATCATTGGCAACACTCTCAACACACAATCCTCGAGTCTAAGTAGTTGAGTGTATTTCGTGATCTCATGGGATCTACAAGTGCTTCTCCACTCCTCACCACCCCCGCGCAGCCGTGCTCGCGCGTGCCGCCACCCGTGCGCGGCTCTCGTGCATCTGCGCGCGGGTGAGCTCCGCGATGGCCGGCGCAGCCATCTCACGACCCAGGCGGCAGAAGTTGGCCCAAACCTGGCAGGTAAGCGGGCTGAGAGTGCTTGGTCCTTTTGTCGCAAAGGACACATAGTGTTCTTTCTGTTCAAAGGAGGGAGGGGTATAGGCCTTCTTCAAGGAAGCTCCCCCCCGCCCTATTCTGGCAGAGCGGCCTTTCGGAGCTTCCTTGAAGAAGCGCTCGCACTCACTCACTTTGGTATTTTAGATTTTGTGAGGGAAACTTAACTAGTAACAAGAAGCTACGAACGGGGCTCCTGGCATCGCTACGAACGGAGCATTCTTAACAAGAAGTCCCGTTCGAAAAAAGCACGGTCCCCAACTGCTTCACTGGCCGATCCGCCACACGACGTCGTGGCCTTTTTGAACGACCGCTCCAGCCGCGGGTAGCCGCTCGTCTCTCTTTCCGGGTGGCCCCAACGGTTGGCGTGAAGAACTGGTTCACGGTGTGGGTGTTCGGAAAGCTGCCACAAAGTTTGCAATCGTGACCTGGGTGACCAAGTTTGCCACAGCTGACGACGGGTGCACTGTGGAAGGATACTCAGGTCATGGGTCGATCAAACAAAATGATCCCTTTACACCACAAAAAGCAGCTTAAACAACATGATCCCTTTATGAAAGCGATGAAGGGGTGCACAGTGTGCTGTCACCTTTCCTTTACACTTTGCACCCTTGTTCGTCCCCAGTCTTGTGACTCCGTTCTTTCGCATGCTGGTGACGCGTGTGGAGGTCTTGATCGTTTTCAGGGAATGGAATGAGCCAACAGACCAAGCAAGAGAATAGGGCCAATTTGAACGAACATAGAACTGTGATGAGCAAACTTATTAATAACAACTTAAAGTAACCATATATATATATGCACAACTATGCACAACTTGTTATTAGTAACTGTGTTTAGCAAACAACTTAAAGTAACTAAATGGCAACTCAAGGCAGAACTCGTTTTTCACGGTCGTTTCTGATCTGAAACAGGAAAGTTCCCGTTTGCTGACCCGTGGTGATGCACCGGGAAACCCTGTGAAACGGTCGTCCTCTGAAACGGTCTGAGTGGCCTTCGTGGCAGCATTCACAGCAAATGCCTCAAGTGGAGGAGTGCGATGCGTTGGGAGCATTCTGGGAAGATTGTAGAGGGAGATATCTCTTTTTGATCGCACCGTGGGGTTTGACAAAAGGAACGGTTCTATATCAATGTGTCCTCTCGTGTTCCTGAATTAAATCAGAAGTGTCACCAAGCTTGGCAATTTTACAGCACCATATTCAGTATGTCACAGCACCATATTCAGTTTGCTTCATCTCCAGAGGGATTTTTTCTTAACAAAGTTGTTGAGTGTTCATGAAATGGAAACCAGCTGAGGGCCAGTCACTACACGTGCAGTGTGATCTTGTATTTAAACAAAAAGAACTCATGGCTCCGAGCGTGACATCTTCACCCATATAATTGATGACTCCAGCATGTCACGCAAATGGAAATGATCACATCCCCAAAAAGACGGCTCCAGAGGACACCACAAATTGGTGCACTATGACACATCAAATGACTCAAGGAGCTGGCCTTGGAAGTCGTCCAACAATCATCCCAAGCACTCAGTTCATCAACACCCCAAACGGTCCACCGCGAGCGCGGGAAGAACGCCTCCCAGCTCTGAGCGCGGTTTCAAAGGCGAGCCCTCACTGCTGGAGGTCTGCGAGGACATCACGTAGTCCTCGCGTCGGCTCGAGCATGCTCGAGTGGAGGGTTTCGTAGTGGAGATTCCCATCAGGCCCCCCCAAAACCATCCAAATATCCAAAAAGCATCAAGTTCAAGCCAACTGGTCAGTTTCGCCACTGGCTGTTGTCTTCTTGACATTCTGACAAAAGGTGGAAAAATGCCGTGCCAAAAAAGCACAGGCACTCGAACGTCCAAACATTGCCCCAAACAAATGAAGGAACGTCCGAACGGTACAAATCCACGAGTCATTTGACCCACAAGCATCGGTACACCACGGGTTGGAAAGTGGATGAAAGTGGGAGCGTTGGATCTGACTTTCTTGATGACATGTTACTGGTTTTGCCACGCACATCCACACATCCCACCTCATTCGAGATCTGTACGCCAGCCATACCTCTCTCTTCCTCCGAGTGTTTTCCTTTTAGTATCTGTTTTGCTCTGTCTTTCTGTGGCCTTGAATCCTGCTTCCTCACTCCAAACGCCGGAGCAGTACAGCATTTCATCAGCATTCCATTCCAGCACTTCATAGGATCTAAGACTATTTGATCTTAAGTAAGGGAGCGACCGTTTAGCATCGCTTCTCCTCTGGCATCGCATGTAGCTCCACCACCGATCCTTGTACCTCCCGATTCTGCCGCTCTGCGGGATCGAAAACAGTGCCTCTAACCGAAGTTGAAAAGTGGACGGCTGATCAAACCTCCTAGGAGATGGAACAGCGCTGGAGACCGAACCGCATCTTCCCACCTAAAAAACGCCTGGAGACGCCGACAAGAGCTAAACTTTTGGTGAAGAACTCGAGGCCAAAAAGAGAGGAACAACAGATTGAAACGAGTTCTTCACAGAACCAGGACCATCCCGCGTTTCGAGGTCCGCGAGTTCCGGCCGGATCTCCATCCCGAGTGAAGGGAACTCGCTGCCCGCAAGCCCAAAACGCGACACAACGCAAGACATCCAACCACATCCCTGCAAACTACTGCCTCTTGCCCATCTCGCCACCACAACTGCTCGACCGGCTTCCTTTCCGGTGAATAAACAAACAAAACCGACCACCCAGCAATGCACGTCCGTCTTTCTGGTTGTTTTGTTGCAAAAACAACACGCGCACGGTGGCAGGAATCACACGGTTCACCGAGAAAATGCCCCTCTCGGACAGGAGCACTTCCTGTCCCAGAAACGGACGGCACGTGTGACGCTTGTGGTGTGGCAAAGACCAGGGTGGAACAGAAATGGTTTTCACATGCGTGTGTGTGATAATAGATGATAATAGGGTTTTTATGAAAGAATAAATGGTTTTCATATCACCTTTCACATGATGTGATAAGGTTGGTATGTGTGTGATAAGAGGTTGACTTTTGACATCTGCCAAGTTCAACAGTTAGACGGTTTGAGGGGGGTCCAAGTTCATCAGTTCCATTCGATCACCTCAAAACACACATGTTGCAAAAGCCAGAAGAAATGCATGGTCTTCTCCGAAGTGGTCAAACTGGCATGGTGACCACTGAGATTAGGTTTGTCTTTTGAGATCTGAGAACTAGTGGAGCGAACCAGGTACTCTTACTCTTGTGCTACTCTTTAAACCACGAGTTACCTGCTGCTGAACGGAAGGAAGAGGGCCGTGGGGAAGTCTCGTACTAGTCTCTCCTTCAACCAGTTCCGCAATGCCAACTCTCAAAAGCATTCTTTTGGAGCTCCATGTACACGTCCATGTCTGTTCTTCTTCGTCATCACACACGTCTACACATGTCTTAGCAAAAGAAACAAATGACCCATTCCAAATCATCATCGTCTCTTCCAAGTCTGCTCAAAACCACCAAGCTCTCCTTCCAGTTCCACGCCCCCTCTTTCCTTACTCGCCATACTCACCCTTTGGCGGTCTCCCTCGACCGGTCGTGAGCCTCACGTTGTACCAGCGGCTGCACCGGAATGGCATGGTCCAGCAATCGCATGCGCACGTGGAAGATCTCGCCGACCTGGTCCTCATAGCTGCGATCTAGAGGCGTTCTGCAGCGGGTGTTTCTGCGACATGTTCAGCGGCGTTTCTGCCAACCAACCAAGTGTCTAAAACATTAATCTATGTGGGGTCTTTCCGCAAATAAGGCAGGTGGCAAGGCGTGTTTGACCTGAAGGTATGTTTCGGGGTATGTTGCAAGGTATGTTTCGGAGGTATGTTTCGGAGGTATGTTTCGCAAATCCACAAGCAACATCTCATATTTGGCCAGGTATGTTTCGAGAGTATGATTCGGGGGTATGATTCGACCTATGTTTCGACCTATATGTTTCCGATGATGTTGAACTTGCGTCCCATCTAAAGTGCTTAGCACTGCATTTATGGAAGCAGCCATGCAATTTATTAACTATATATATACATAAATAACTGCAATAACTATAGACTATAGAACAAACTTTCGCTGCGTCCATTCCTTGGGGGGATTGTGTCACTAGGCCTCGTGAGGAGTCATATACATATGCAACCCGTACTGTGGAGTTGCGCGACTGCTCCACTCTCACTTGTAATATTTATTGTATAAAATATTATTGCCGATTTGGTATCACAAAACGCACATCACACAACCAGGAAAGCATTAAAGCATCTCTCAGACATTTCCCGTCCCTCCTCCCCATACATGTTTCTACGTCATACATGTTTCTATAATAACTTATTATAACTATTTCCTATTTATTTATAGTTAACAATATTTGTCTTCATAATTATATTGCTAGTTCCTGTCACTCCCCCTGTGGCCCGCAGCCAATGTGGTTGTGATATCCCTCAACCTCTGAACCAACCAACATCCCTACCTCTGAACCCGTTCCAAGAGTCTCTTTGCCCGGTCTCATCCGAATAGAGGACGCCTGGCCGGTGTTGGAACATACAAAAAATCCGGGTGTTCTGATCTGATTTGCCAACTTGACCAAGTGTGGCAGCTACGATTGCCTTGAGCATCACAATGGATTGATCTTAAGTCCCTGCAGAGGTCGGTGGTCAGCAAGGTTGGAAGGCAAGCATTGGAAGACCTATTCTAAAGCAAGCATACGCGTTCATACAAACAGTGCGGGCTTGGAGCACATGTAGAAGCTCACAAATGCTGCAGCTCAACAAAGGAACATTAATCATTATAAGCAAACACGGGCAGCTGTGCCCTCTGAGTAATGCATCGGAATGCTGATGTTTGAATATCTTTGAATATTGTGCAGCTGTGCAATGATATTCCCCCAACCAATACCCCGCTAAAAAGCTCTGTACCAGCTTCTGATCCTGGATTCCGTCCGCGAAATGTCTACCACACTTTGACTGACCAAGTCTCACACCTGTTGGTGGAAGAAATCCTGCAACCGCCCAGAAAGGAACAAAAAACATTTCGGCACAAATGCTCCAGCATCTCAGCATACCAATCATTTGTGTCCAAAAGCACCCAACTTCAGCGTTCCCCAATCAGCAGGATCCTCCCTTTTTGAGGCAAAAACCCACGTCAGGTCAACCCATCTCGCCAGCTTCCCGCATATCACGCCACAAAAAGTGCCTAGATGTAGAAAGGGTTCTTTGCCTCGGAGATGTGTTGGAGGCTATCGCTATGTTCGCTTCGAACGGAGTGGTCAGGGCATCGCTACGAACGGAGCGATCGGACGCTACGAACGGGGCTCCTGGCCTTACAACTAGTAACAAAAATGCATTACTACTATAGCAAGAAGCTATTAGAAACAAGTGCCACGCTACTAGTAACAAGTGCCTTACTACTAGTAGCAAGAAGCTACTAGGTTTGGAGGCTATCGGCCAACGGTTGGAGGCGTTTCGTTCGCCGCGTGGTCGGTCGTGATGGGACCGAAGCGGACCTGGAGTCTCGATGGGTTCGTCTATAGGTGGATGAGTCGTACATGGCTGGTGACGTGGATGGTGACGTGGTGATCCCTGTAAGGATGACGTTCCTTCGGAATGACGTTCAGCGAATATACAGTACCGGTTTCGATGTTCGGAGGGACGGATCATGTGGTCGGCAGGTGCACATGTCTGACGGTACCATTTGCCGCTCACACCCGATGTTCTGTCCAGGACAGGAAAGAATCACCATTTGTTGAGAACTCTTCCTGGAAAAGAAAAGGCTGTTGGACTTCCACCAATTTGCCGTATCCATGTGGAAATTGGATTTTGCTATGTCTTGGCGTGCACTTGTTGATTAAAAAAACACACTTGGGTAACGAATGTCAACCCTCTGCTTCCATCTCCTCACAGTGTTCTGAGCTGTGCTGGTCTCCTGTCCAGTCATTTGGGTAGTCAAAAGAATAGACATGAATGGAACCTGCGCAATCACAGTCGTTTGGACAGGAGATGAGCAATTGTTGAAAAATCCTTGAAGAACACATATACCAATAAATAATGTCATTATCAACATTATCACATTATTGCAATGTGATATGTGATAACAATAAAAATATTCACATTGTCACATTTCAACAAACACCCATCTCTTGACGTTCCATATCTGCTCTTCTCACGTCATGGCAATAACAGGATATCCGACAATATAGACTTTGTATATTTTGATGGTTATAGATATGTCAAAAAGTATCAAAAAGTATTGTGTTGCCATGTTGGCCTCACTTCTGCAGCTCTGCTGCTCTTGCGGAAGGCTTCCAAGACATCTTCCAGGTCCCGTCGTGGATCCTTGTGCAAGTAGAAGCTGCATAAGCGCTCCTCGCCCGTCGATCACCGGGTATGCGGTCCACAAAAAACGTCCATGCGACTGGCAGAAAATGACTCAATCAATGCAGTATTCTGTAGCTGTTGGGTACAAAGCAGAAAATATAGGACATGTTGCATGATTCTGCTGCACCAGACTTTTCATGGATGCCTGAAGTTGAATACCAGCAAACAAGACAACATCACCAAAGACCATGCAAACGAAAAACAAAAAAAACATTAAAACATAAATATGTATAATGTTAACAAAAAACACATCACATACAGCGAACCGCAAAGACAATTGCATCCATCTTCCTGACCAAAACCGTCGATGAGTTCATGCAGCAAATGCCCCGCCTGGCGGCTCAGGGCGATCGCTGCCCGGAGATCCAGGAACTCGCCTCGGGGTCCGGTGGAAACGCTGCGCAGCACACCACGCGAGGTCTTCGAATAAGAAATGATTTACAAATGTTCCAAGTCTTTTGTCTTTTGGTTCAAGAAAAATCGTGTAATCCATTATTCCACATTCCAAGTTGGTGAGTTCTATATTGTATACCAGCTTAATTAAGGACATCTAATTGACCCGATGGTCCTCCCCAAGTCCTCCCCACGTCCTCCGTGGCCGCGCGGCACTCGGGATCATCGCCCACGTCGAAGGAGAGGATCCAGCGGCACCGGCGGCGTAAAAGCTGGACGAGTCCTCCAATCTGAAGCTGCAGCTGTATCAACTCGTTATAACTCATCCATCCGTCCATCCTTCCTTCCATCCTTCCTTCCTTCCATCCTTCCATCCTTCCTTCCTTCCTTCCTTCCATCCATCCATCCATCCTTCCTTCCATCCTTCCATCCTTCCTTCCTTCCATCCTTCCTTCCTTCCATCCATCCTTCCTTCCATCCTTCCATCCATCCATCCAAATCCATTCAAAGCCAGCAAAACTCATGCGAGTGAAACCCATCCCCTCAAACTTCCAACACCAATCAGAATGCAAGGCTACACAGCAAACTGTTCCTCCAAACAACCCCCCCGAAACAAACATCGTATCTCTCCAGTACCTGCCTACCCTTTGCCTTGGGACCACCACGACTCAGGGGTCCTAGGTCTTCCACAGGACCACCGTCCTGGCGCTGCAGAGTGGGTAGAATTGCTTAGACGTAATTCTTCAGTGCAAGGGTGGGTCTGCCCTTTTCCTACAGGTGTTTGAGCTGGAATTATAGATCCACGGGTCATAATCAACAATACCCCAAAAAGGGCCTTTACTATGGCTCATTTTGCTGGCTTTTGGAGTCCTTGTTTCAACAGGTCAATGTAGTTTTTGTTGAGCCGTCAAAAAGCTCAGAAGCGGGACACCTCTCGCATGCAGCTGAGCATGCTGGGAGGAATTGAAAGAATTGTAAAGGGTTCAATTTGGGGCCTCCTTCAGTCTAGTCTTCTTCTTCTGCTCTGAACATGGAGGTTGCTTGTTTGTCGCTTGACCCTTGAAGCCTCTGACCCTTGAAGACCACCTCCCGAAGTCAGTTCTCTTTGGGGCCGAGGCTCGGTGAGGTAGAGATACATTGGAGGCTTCTCCATGCACTCGTGGTACATCAAAAACCTCGGTCGGTCGGTCAAGCGGCGGGTTGGCAACACCCGGCGTCCGTATGACGCTCCGCATCGCGGGTCCCGCGGGTGTTTGAGGGCAGTGGTGCCGAACAGTTGCCCCAACGAGCAAGCTGCCCATGATAAATACAAAGGACACATATGCTCACATCTCTTGATAGAGTGAAAACGGATCAGTTTCTACCATTTTTTTTGTCTCTGGTTAGTTAGTCCCTCCATCTCCATGGTGCACTTTGATTCGCTCAATTCCGAGCACTCCACTGAGGAGCAACACACACTGTCAAGTGGCTGGCGCACTCAATCTGTTTTCGCCATCGCTCGTGACTCAAGGCGCCTAAGGTCGTAGGCGAATGGGCATTCGGGCCCAAAAGGGGATGCGGATCAGGATGCATCAGGTGTGGGCCATGCGAACCATGAATTGGGTTTGTCATCCTTCGGGGGATCACTCCACACCTGGTGCCTCCTTCACCAAACAGTAAGCGGCCTCCTTCATGGCCTTTCTCAAAAGTGTGCTGTTGCCGAGACGCTTCGTCAAGGCATCTGCAAGCATCTGTGGTCCTGGAACCCAGAAGGTCTTCGTGCGAAGCTGCTTTGCAGAAATGCAAATCACTGCAACATCGATTTGCGCACGGCGGCATTGGCCGGCGTTCCCGGAGCGGCGACTCAGGAGGTCATAGAGGGCCTTCGCGTCGGTGACGTGCGCTCCGGTGGCCTGGTCGGTGATCCTCACCGAAGCCACACTCTCATCCTCATGCTCCGGCAAGCGAAGCACCATGGCGGACTCAGCATCTCCCAGCCTGGTGCCGTCAAGCACTGAGGTGCTGGGATCCAAGACTTCGTGCCAAAGTGCACGAACCCACTCAACCTCTGCCAGGGCGTCATCCATGGCCAAGGCCTCCGACCCGAGGGTCGCTTTGATCACTCGCTTGAGCTTGTGCGAGCGCCAACTGTTCAAGCTGAAGTCGGCCTTCTTGCAGTCGAGGATGCTGCGGTGAGCTAAAGCAAGCAGGAATCCACCTTGGCTCTTGTTTTCAACATTGGCCATTGATGCATCTGCTATTGTCATCCAGATGCTCTCCTCAGGTGCAATGGGAAGCACCCGGATGTAGACATCCATGGTGGACTTGAGCTCGCTGACAGTTTTGTTGGCCATCAAAATATGCTCCACCGTAGGACCAGTGGATGGCCAGGACATGCTCATCGCACATGCAGCTCCGACATCTGGTCGTCCTTCTTTGCCAACCCACAGCAAGCTTCCTCCAACCCCTCGCAACCAAGAGATCTCCTTCTCATCCAGGAGGGCTTCTTTCTGGCGCACGCGGTCCTTGCTCAAGGCAACTGGTCGAAGCTTCTCTTCGATGTACCGCTTCATGCTCACCTGGATTTCGTGGTTGGGGAGCTGCTTCAAAGTCCTGCCGATATACTCAGCAGAGGAGCCATGCACGTCCTTCCATTTTCCAAACTTCAGTTTGGTCCGCAGCTCTGCCATCAAGGAGTGATGCCGTTCATTGCCTCCTTGACAAAAATCATCAACATCTAAGAGCACCATGCCGGCAACAAACATTTTCTTTTCTTCAAGCTCTTCAGGCGTGGGCTTCAGGAAGTAGAGGCATGGATCAAACACACTCTCCTCATAGCCGAGGGACAGGAGCAAGCGGCGGATCGTGCGCCTCCAAACAGCTGGTGCATTCACCAGTCCATACACTGCTGTCAGGACTCTGATGAGGCTGTCCTGCTCATAGCCAGGTATGCCGGTGGGTGGCATTGAAGCAAACAAGGGTCCCTGCTCTCGTTCCACAGGGTCGCTTTGACCAAAAGCTGAACTCACATCCATGATGAAGAGGTTGTAGCGCAAGGAAGCTAGGATCTGGAGCGTCAGCATCACTGTTGTGCTGGAAGGTGCTGGTGCAAAACGTTCAAGCTGAAGGCTATCGGGATCTCGGTGTCCCAAAAGGATCCATCTGGCCTTTGCCTTCCAATCTTCTCCCACTTCTCCAGCTTTCTTCGTGATGATGAATCTGCTGGGCATGATTCTGTGGGAGTATTTTTCATGCGCCCATTTGATCTGCTCCTTGGAGGTGATCATCTCGATGGCATTGGAGCCGAGCAGGTTGTCAATCTCTTTTGTCTTCGCCTGTGCAAAGAGTTTGCGCTCTACTTCACTGAGGCGCTTCTCATTCAGCTCTTTGCCACTTTGCTTGGTGAGGTAGGAGAGGGAAGACTCTGCTTGCAGGAAGTGGTTGTAGTAGCAATCGCTCTTGGCCACTTTGTGGAAGACCTGCAAGTCACGGCTGTTGGCTACCACAGGAAAGGATCTGCGGTCGCCCCATTCAGAAACATCATCTGCTCGCCAGGCTCCAAAGATTCTTGAGCGGTTGACCACTCGATCATCTGGCGCTGGCTTGTCCAAACTCCTCTTCATGGATTCCACCAGTCGTGCATCTTCCTCTGGAGCTTTCTGCCGGTCAGGTTCTTCTTGAGGGCCTTCGATGGGTTCTTTGAAGGGCTTACCGGGGTCAGGATGACCTGGAAGAACTCTGTAGACCAAAATGGTCTCTATGCTCCGGACTCCTTCAGGAAGCTTTTCGTGAGCCTTGTGCACGGACATCTCTTGTGTGATTGGGATGTCCTGGATCACCTTGTTGGTGTCGATGTCAATGGTGACTCTTCGAGTGACATCGTGCCAGAGTGGACCTTTGCTGTTGGATCCTCTGTACCTCTTGGCATCAAGGTCATGGCGGACCCACCTTTTCAGCTCTGGCTGTGCACTGTCAGGCTCATCGACTCTTTCTTCTTGTCGTGCACGCTGGTTCTCAACTGAGGCTTTCCACAATTCATCTGCCTCATTCATTGCTGGTGCGGCTGCTGGTCGTTCTGTGGCTGCCGAATGCTCTGCCGCTGCCGGTGCTGATGCTGTTGCTTGCGTTGGTTCATCTGTTGGTGAGTCTGTGAGGTCGATCGGTGCTTGTGCGGGCCGAGGCGATCGTGTGCGATCTCGCCTCCCGCTTGTATCTGCCGGTGGTGGTGTTTCAGCACGGGTTCGTGCTGGTGCTTGTGCCGGTGTGCCTGGAGCCGGTGTCATAGGAGCTGGTGTAGAAGGATTGGGTGTTCTCAATCCTTCGGGGGGTCCTCGAGGTGTTCCTGGAACCTTCCGGTAGACGGTGTGCTTGTCTAGCGGTGCTGCTCTTGCTGGTTCTGCTCGTGCTGCTTTGGCTGGTGGTTCAACAAGTTGTGGCTCGTCTCCATCAAATTCTTCAGGCGGATCGCCTTCTTTGGCGACATCCACATAGCCAAGCTTCTCTGGGTCATAGCGAAGTCTTTCTTTCGCTTTCAGCAAGTCAGCAGCCACGGCTTCGATCCCCTGCTTCTCCATGTTCCCCATCTCGAAGATCTGGGATCGGTTGCACTTCCAAAGTTCTCCTCGTCGGCTGACCCAGACAGTGTCACCTTTCTGTAGGATCACAAAGCATGGTCCCACCTTTGCCGTAGTGCCCCTTCTGCCTTGTCTCCAAACTGAGACAGGATCGCCCTCTCTGAAGACATGACCTTCTCGAGCTTTGCGAGGGCGGGCACGAATGGCGCGGCTCAAGCGCTCCTTTGAATCCACCTCCATCAAAGCCTGTCGAGCGGCTTTCCGAATTTCCTCCGCCCGATTCCATGCTCCATCGGCAGTCATGCTGTATTCGAACTCCCGGGCGTCGCTCAACAGGTCCATGCCCAAACTGGGTTGCTTGCCAAATACACGTTGTGCCGGGGAGTAGCCAGACCTGTTGGTCAAAGTTTGCAAAGCCCATGCAACTTCATGCACCATGTTCTTGACTTCATCGATTGTGGAAGGCTGCTTGAGCTCTCGGGTGCGGTAGTACACCTCTTTGAACAAGCCTCCACGTCGTTCAGTGACTCCATTTTGATATGGTGCGTCACGGTCAATGATGATGGGCTGGATGCCGTGAGATTCGAGCTGTTCGATGAAGTGGCCTTGGAATTCAAGCCCCTGATCCATCAGCAGAAATGCCAGTGCACCAAAGACGCGCAGCCACTTGTCCAGGAAAGCATTCCAAACCAACTCAGAGCCTCTGCGGTTGGGATCAACCATGCTGAACGTGGAATACAGCGTTCCCAGGCAAGTGACATTCAGGATCGGGTGCTCGGTGGTGTGGCTGATGCCATGCACAAACAGCAAATCGATGCCAACACAGACATTGAAA